AAAAAAAAAAAGAGTAGAGTTACAGAGAGATAGGGGGACCAAGAGACAGACAGACAGACAGACATTGAGGCAGACATGGAGAGATGCTGAGGGACAAGAGAGGGCCTTGCCCCCGGTGGGAGGGCCTCCCAGGGAGCACGTGGGAAGGGGCCCCAGTTTCTGGTGGGGTTGCAGCCCATGTCCCCAAGGAAGATGTGTAGGGCTTGTTGAAGGGAAAACCCAGTTACTCTGTTAATGTTTCCCGGGGGTGGGAGGCGTGAGCCGGAGAACTGAAAAAACAAGACAGGGTGTGGGGAGAGACAGACGGTGAGACAGGCAGAGACGGCTGCAGGGGGGACAGAGTAAGACGGATGGAGAGATGGGGAAACCAGGGTGCTCAGAGGTCTGAGATGGAGGTGTGTCTGTCCATTGAGGGGGGCAGGGGGAGGTGGGCGGAGGGCAGCCAAGTGTTGGGGCAGCAGGATGGGGGCCGGCAGCACCTGGTGACAGTCAGCCTGACCGAGGTGTCCACACCTACCATATCTTTGCAGCTAAACCCAGAGTCCCGCCAGAACCACCAAGTGAGACTTCAGCCAGAGGTGTTCCCACCTGCCTGGGTTGAGGGAGGGGGGCTCTTCACCCCCAGAATGATCCCAGAGAAAACACCTTGGCGGAGAGGTGTCACTGGGGAAGCTGGGGCCTAAAGCCTCCCACAAGTCACATCGAGGCTCCGACCCTTGCCCCTCTGTGCCCACCTGCCCCGTCCTGGGCCCCAGGCAACACTTTAAATAGCATTGGGGTGAGGACATGGGGCTCCGGGGGTGTGACCCGTCTGCCCAGACCCAGGATTCCTCCCTGATGACTCAGGGGTTCCCCGTAGTAGCTTCTTCCTTGCTTGATGGGGGTGGTGTCACAGCAGTGTGCGGCAGACTCCAGACCCCCGTTCAGAAGCTCGGTGCTGAGAAGGGAGCATCCTGTCCCCCAGGCTCAGACCAGCCCATTTTCAGCCCTGTCCCCTGCCCCAGTATCTGTGTCTCCCAGTCGGGTGGGTTGGGGTCGTGGTGGCCGGGGACCAAGTGTCTGTGTCCTGGCAGAGTGGACACCAGGGAACCTGCACCCCTTTTCTCCCCCCGCTCCCAGGACACCTGTTCCCCAGCTCGATGGCAGTGAGTTTTGAGTTCATAGGACAGGGTAGAACCGCCCCCGTGGGTTCCCCATGGGTTTCCAAAACGGTCACTCTTTTTTTTTTTTTT